GTGTTCGCTAACCTGCACCTGCGTCCAGGTGTTGCTCCTAGACCACAATCTGTCTCACACATTTACGTCCTGACAACGTTAGTAGGTCCCACAGTCACTTCTATGCAGCCTGAGCTTCACCTGTCATTGAAGAACCAGCCGCCAAATCCATTCAGAGGCTGTTCGAGTCAACTTCAGTCTGTGGTCAACTTCCTGTAGACAGGAAACACAACCTCAACAATAAGGAGTCACATTATAACCACAGTTATTGAAACTAGATTTTCAGTGAAGTCATATAGAAACTGCAACTACTTCATTCACTTCAATGTTATTCTGAGTTAATTTTAATTTTCATAACAGAGGGTTTCAGATCATTTACTCTGTATTATCTGTAAGACACATAACCATAGTTGGATCAAAATGAAGTTTAATATCAACTCTAATTCTGAAAATCACTTCAGTGCAGCTGAATATGTTGCTGCTGAATGATTGTTGTGTTCACTTTTTGCATCAGACTACACATGAGGAAAACTATAGGCCATGAAATTCAATGTATATGCACTGAATATAAATATAAACAGCATGCAATTGGTCTCCTTTTCTAAATTAAAAGAACAATGTGAAATCTTTTTTTTTTTATTTTTGATTGTTATGGCTGCTTGGGTGGAGCAGTGGTTCGGTTCTGGGTTGGACTCTTGGCTCAGGGTCTTCCTGTGTGGGGTTAACATGTTCTCTCTGGATCCTCACCAGGTGCTCCGGTTTCCTCCCACAGGCCAAAGACATGCTGAGGTTAATTAGTGGTTCTAATTTGTCCGTGGGCGTCTCTCTGTGTAGCGCTGAGATAGGCTGCCGACCTGTCCAGGTGTCCTCTTTCTTCACAGTAAGTCAGCTGAGATAGACCACAGCCTCCCCCCACGACCCCACAGAGGACTGTGTTTAGATAATGGATGGTCGGATGGGTTAACTTCAAAGATTTTGAGCTGTTCAACTGGTGACAAATTCTCGACCATTGGTTTGTTCCACCTACCAGTCACCTTGAAAGGACAACAATCAAATCACATGACCAGTACACGGACACTCACACAAAATAATGCAACACTATTCAAATAACATGAGATGATGAGACGAAGGCACACTCAGGTCACACCATTTGTCGTCTGCGAAATCACTTCGAAACATTCTACCACATTAAAATCTGATCCACTCTCCCAAAAAGTCAACCAACTTCACCAAGTCCATCGACTCTATGTGCTGTAGATGCGTGACTCATTACTGTGATTTCTGCTCTATGACCCCCAACATCCAGCCACCCGTCATCACTTCTAATATAGGGCTCACTTCAATGTATAATGATGCCCTCTTGTTTCTCTGTGTTAAATAAAAATTGATAGAATTTAAAGAAATATGACATTCTGTGTTTACATTTTTGTTAAGTTTCGTTCATCAGTGAGCGTCTTTGAGTATTCGACTCCACTGAACTCAGTTTTCTTCATGAGGGCACTTCTCATACTCAGGTCAAGACCTCACAATATTATATTATAGAGAGAAACGCTGGGATTCCACTTGAGCAAGCACTTGGCAACAGTGAAAAGAAAAAACTGCCTTCTAACATCTTCCTGATGGTACTAGCGATGGATGGATGGATGTGGGGAAGTTTGCAAACCTGGTTCTCACGATCTGATTAAAGAGGTTCTGGTCCAGGTATTTATGTGATGGACCAAGCAGTTAATCATGCTTGGGGCTTTTTTTCAGATAAACCGAGTGTTGCATCCATGTTAGCTGTTATATAACACACACATCATCACCTTATTTGACCTTTAAGCATACAATGTTCCCACTGAGACCAATGGGTGTGACTGAGGTTTTTCTTGATGATGCACATCACAGTTTAAAAAAGCAGACACTATAACATAAACAGAAGCTTTTGAAGGCCGGTGTGTTCCTGCCAGCTCACCACTCGTGCTGTATACGTGCATAAAACTGCCATAAATTTGTATCATCGTGTACAACTCCTTGGCAAGCTGTCTTGAATACTCCTTTGTGTGTGGGCGCTGCCCTTTACAACTGAAACTTTACTTGAACAAAATATTCTAAAGGTGTTTTGTTCTATACCTTTAACGCTTCTCACAAAGATTTCCACCACATCTTAAACAGATATTGCATTGCCTGATGCCAAAACATCCTCAGAGTCACCTGTTAAGGTCCAAATCGTATCCACCAGAGGGACGACGCTCTGCTGTGATTGGTGGTTGAGGTTTAGGGCAGCTTGGTGGATTGGTTGTTTGGGTTCAGGTAGGTTGGGTCAGACAGAAGAGCTGATCCCATCCAGCACCAACCCTCTAGATAAGAAGATAAGCAGCTCAGGCAGCCAGAGATTTGACAGATCAATAGACCCATCTAGTGGTCAGAGGAAGCACTGCCACCACTCTGACCTCTGGAACCTCTTTGATCCTCAGACAGAAGAACTAACATTCACTTTCTAACACCCTCTCAGCCCAAAGCTCTTCCTACCAGCATTTCTTTTCTCCTATAGGAAACTTACACTGGGCTAAAGGAGAAGAGGAAACCTGACGAATGTGCTTCACTGACTCAGACGAGATGTAATAATAACTTTCCACCAACAGATGTCAGAATAAAAGGAGCAATAATGTTCCAGACAAAACACATCAGAGCTCTGTACTGTTTTGTACTTCCTCAGTTTTCACTTGTGGATTTTTAAAGTTTATTTTGGAAAAAGATAAAGAACTGCATCATGGTCATAGTTTCTATAATATATATAATCAAATATATAATATAGAGGTATTTTTAGTGCAGAGCTACTGCCTGCAGTGGGAAAAAAATGATCAAAGGCACGTATGTACTGTTTTATTTCATCGTAAGGAATTTGGCACAACATCAAAACAAGAGCATAATTTGATGAGACAAAAATAACCCCACATATCTACACATTTAACTTAATCTTGAGCTTTAAGATGAAAGATTACCTACTTATATTTTAAGCTACTTGTGCCCATTTTTTAATTCTACAGGCTGTTCCCATCACTGTACAACAGGCACAGCCTCTTTAGCGTCTAACTTTGTGGTGATGAGCGTTGCCAGGACGTGACTGTAACGTTCCTGTGGGCCCCAAGATGTCTCCAATACACATAGTAATCAAGTCGCAGTTTAAATTCATGTCAAATGGGTATTATCACATGGCATTAATCATGCATGTCTCATTCAGCGGTGCCAGATGTGCCATAATTAGCATATTTGTAGGACAGTTTCACCCTTTGTGTACAATGTGTTATCAGTAGTGCCCAAAAAAACCCACAATGTCAGATCATTTGACCATTTTGTGATATTAGAGGTTATAATCACTCTAAACGATTACATTTTTCTATGTAGAAGCTAAAGGGGCCACCACTTGATTTTCTGTGTTGTTGTTGTTTTTGTTGTGACCTTTGATTCATTCAAGAGATCTGCTTAATAATTTAATATTTGGATATTCCCATGTGAGTTAGCCAAGGCAAAACATAATTCTCTATGCATTATGTGGTGCCTATCAATAAATTAAATTGTTAAGGCGACACATTAAAATCTAATATTGTTTTATATGCACTGGTCAGTTTTGAGTTATTGATATATTTTGCTTTCACAACATATCTTCTTCTATTGGACGTTTGTTTGTATTAGAGCATGTTATTGAGGTAAAACATTGCATATTTAAACACACCATTTCAAAATACTTGAAATACAAAAAATATAAAACAGCATTTGTCTTTTTGAAAGTAATCATGGCACAGGTTTTGTGGTGATATCTGTTCAATGTTATGCCCTTAATACTGCTTTTTAAAAAGAGTTTGTCATTTTATATGACATATCTGTTCTCATGCAAAGTGTAGCTGCGATCACTGACACACACTTCCAAAACTTGTGATCACTGAAACTAAAGTGGGTAAAAAAAAAAATCTGCAAGTTTCTGCTGTTTCAGGAAAGTCAAAAAGAAGATAATTTGCATATTGCTTTAATATTTTTCTTCAGTGTACACATTCACATCAATTTGTTCTTTTGGTTATGACTGATGATGAATTTATTTAGAATACAACAAATTTGATGCAGTTTGTTT